CGGGCGCACCGGTTCGCAGCCTCGGTCTCCTCCATGCGGGATGCGTCGGAAGCCCAGGGTGCGGCTGGCAGCAGCGCAGCGTCGAGGGCGCCGTCCTCGGGCGACCCCCGAGGAGGGGAGGGGCCTGGCTCTCGGAGGACGCGGAGCACCCCGAGACTCGCCCCAGCCACGCCCGCACGCCCTCGGCGACGCCAGCACTCAACCTGCCTGTCAGGCGCCGGAAGTCCCACCCCACGCCAGGCAGGCCCCACCCCTCCTCCGGGCGATGATTGGTCAGCCCGAGAGCCTAATCCGCCGCAAGGCCTTCCGGGTAACGCAGTTTTTAAAAACTGACCCCTGCCTAGACCTGGAGACTTTTCCCACGGGTTCCACGTTTGTGTGCTACAGGGTTGAATGAGTTTATGGCAGTGGTAACAATTCCATCATTCGCCCACATTATCCAAGGCAGACCTGACGGGAACATTTTCCTGCGGTTAAAGCAATTCAACCGCTATGGTTTCTTTTCTGGATCTCCGCGTCGGGTGTACAGATAAAAGCTGCAAGGGCATTTGGGAACAGATGGGAGACAAGTGCAACACACTGTGCAGGTGAAAAAGCACTTGCAGTTGTTTTGGTGACACCTAAAGCAAAAGTCAAAAAGCACTCTGAACAGAACAAGCAAGCGATCGCTATGTGATACTGCAGTCAGAAAAAGACAAAGAGGAGAACTTTAAATCCGCCATCAATTTACCTGGCAGTAGGGAACGAGTAACAGAGAGAAGTGGAGAGATCACCCAACTACAGACGCTAAGGCGCAAGACTGGAAAGGGCCGAGGATGCCTGTGAAAGGGCGGTAATCAAGAGAAACAAGTGGTACAGCGTAGGCAGGGCTGCAGGACGTCACACAGGCCATTTCCCTGTCCACAAGCTAGAAGAAGTGAAGAAAAGACACTCTGAAGTCGTGCTTCTGTGTTTGGGTCTTCAGTGATGTGCAGCCCTTTTCAGAAATATCAGGCAATGAGAAGGGCATGTGAGCTACTTTTCTAAAATCTCAGTCACTGGGATTCCCACTAACATGGGCTTGTCCTTGCTTCGGTAGCACATATACTAACTCACTGGTCTTTAGACCTCTGTTATACCTTGTAAGTTCATTCCAAATTTGAGTTTGAACACTGGAAGTTTGAGAAATGAACGTATTTTTCCCATAAGAAATAACGGAAAACCAAATAACTGATTCTAAGGCCCAAAAATTACCCTTACAAATTCATTTTTTTTAGGACTTTAACAAATGTTGCAAGGATTTCTTCAACTCCATTGTGGTTTTCACAGTTTTACTCTTAGGTTTAGTGCTGGTATTGCATGGGGCAATGGAGCTGATAGTACACAGGTAAGGCTACAGGAGGTGTCCCAAATAGCCAGCACAGCCAGCATCCCCTCTATGAGATAGGTTCTTCCGGATGTATAAAGGACAATCCCAGAAGCAGATAATCAGACTGTGATAAACTGGTTGATGACTAGGCCCATGAGGTAGCTCAGTGGTACAAGTGCCTGCCTGGCAAGCACAAGGTCCTGAATTCGATTCCTGGTACAAAAAAATTGTTTGGAAGAATCCTGATAACCTGCTGGAGCAAGTCACCATCTAGACTTGATACCTGTGCTGTGTGAAACGGGCATGCGGCCATTGGTGTCTGCACTGCAGTGCTGAAGCCCAGGGGAGGACCGTGCTGAAGGCGCACATGACGGACACGGTCCTGGTGAGTGAGCAGGCGGGCGGGCAGGCATACTGGGTCACCAGCAGCCCTCCCAGCTCGCTGTACAGGTCACCCACTCCACGAGGCTCTGGATGCCTGGCCTGGGCGAGAAATCGGAAGCTGCCATGGTAAGGTGAGGTCTGTAAAAACTGCATAGGCAAAGAAAAAAGAAAAGTTTGCGTGGATGAATGGGGCCATCCCCCCAGGACAGGCTCTGGGGCCCCAAAGGTCGCCTGATGCCAGATCTGGGTGGATGCACCTGCTGGCCCCAGCCTAACTGCAGATAAGCTGACGGGCAGCCTTGGCTGCATTGCCGACTCCGAGCAGCAGTACTGGCTGATGGCCCAGGGCCAGAAGGCCACGAAGCCCTGATGGAGCTGAAAGAAAGAACACTGGCCCCTTTTACCCTGATTAGGAGGCAGACCATGTTTCCTGGGTCTCGGGGTCCTGGGACACCAGAGGCCACATACAAATTTGGCTACTTACAGCTCCCCAGAACTTACTGGACTATTTGCTGTGCAATGTGCACTAATGTTGATGGGCAGCAGAGTTGAGTCCACACTAATATACAGCAGCCTGGACTGTTTTACAAGGCCTACTGCATCTATAGAGGTCACCACGTCATGGTCCAGAAGGCCCAGGGGATTCGGAGTATCAGGCACTTGGCCACACACCTGTATGATATCCGTGTTCCCCAGTTGCTGAATATGGACTGCGGGCAGACACACTGACTTGTGCTCAACTCAACACCAAATAGAGACAATTACGGTGATAAATGTGTGTGGTACGAACCAGAGTCTGAGGACATCCATCCCCACGTACCTGACTCTCCCATGAGCCACATGGATTGTATGAAACAGTGCCAGTGGCCCGCGGGCCATGAGAAGATGGGGCAGGCTGTCTTAAAGTTTTAAAAATTGGGTGATGGGCTGGCGAGATAGCTCAGTAGATTATGCACCTGCTTAGGCAAGCACAGGGGCTGGAGTTTGATCCCTGGCACCACAAGCTGCACCAGTCCTGCCCCCAGGAGCACTGAGCCAGCAACTGAGTCCTGGTGTGGTGGTGCACACCTGTAATCCCAGCACTGCAGCGGCTGAAAACAGGAGGACTGCTACAAGTTCAAGCTGAATGGTGAGACCCTGCACATATACACACACACACAAAGGGGGGGGTGACATTCCTTGCAAGAGCCCTTCAGTATGGCTCATGCAGGAGCCAGTCAGGCCATGACAAGTGACTGGAAAGCTTCACCCTGATGCTGGCTGTGAGGACAGGCAGTGGGCCTCCCAGTTGTGGCCAAGGGCTTCTTATATAATCCAGCTTGTGTCATGGCCTGGTAGCCCAGGGCCTGGCTCCCTGGGGCAAGGCACACTCTGTCACTGTTTGCTTTTGGTAACGCTATGCTAGCCTGATTGTCTTGCAGATTTGAAGGCCACCATGCACAGTCTGAAGAAATCTTGCTAGCATGGGGATAAAACATACATGAAGACAAGGCCCAGGGGCCTGGCTTGTCTGACAAATTCTTGGGTGCTCTATGGTTGGGTAAGACCAGACTCATAACACTACGCCAATTACAGGTACATTTGGACTTGCTAGGTTTTTGGCAGATGTATCACACCTAGCTATTCCGCTGCGCTCTTTATGCCAGATGATCAAAAGGGACATGGGGATGGACAGACGCAGCAGAAGCTGCTTGCAGGATAGATGCAGCCCAAGCTGCTTTTCAGGACGCAAAGAGCTGTTGCACAGGTGCAGGCCCTGGGAGTCATGGCCCCCACCCTGCTATTTATCCTATATCAGTGTGGATGGTGATGAATTTGGCTGGGGTGGATGTGTAAACAGGAAAAATGGAAGCACCCTGTAGGGTTTTGATCACAGCTGCGGAAGGGAGCCGAGAGCCAGGATTCCCCAGTTGGAAAACGGTAGCGCCGTATGCTGCTCTGCGTGCTGTGAGGAATCATGGAACACATGAAGGCTGGGGACACGTGCCACGCAGGCCCCCTCTCTTTTTTTCTCTCTCTCTCTTTTGAGACAGGGTCTCTCATTGAAGAACTTAGGAGGACTCCGGTTGGCCTGTGGGACTTTGGGCTGTGACCCATGGGCCAGTACATGCAGGCACAGAGCTTTCCTGGGGCCTGGTCCAACCACTTAAGAATGTAGGAGAACTCTGGGCTGCCTAGACTCTGGTGAGCTCTGACCCTCGGCCCCCAGAGTGCAGGCCTGGAGCTTGTGCGGTCCTGGCCTAAACTTTTAAGAACTCAGGAGGACTCTGAGCAGCCTGTGGGACCCTGGTGAATCCAGCCCACACCCACCACCTGCTCTGAAGCTGCGGTGAGCATCGGCCAGCCACCCCCACTACTAGGGAGAGCCTTGGGGGGCCCACCCCGCTCCCCACTGTAGAGGAAACCTTACTGACATACGTCTCACACTCGCCCACCACTGCTGAGCCCGGTGATGACTGGGAGCTTCTAAAGTGCCAAAGTGCACACGCAGAGGTAATCTCAGTCCTCTAGCCCACCCAAAACAAATCCAGGAGACAAAGACATACAAGAACTTGGAAATCACACACCTGAAATCTCTGAAATGATAGCAACTTCAGTAAACAAGTCCATCAGGCATACAAGAAATAAGATCAGAAATCATCTCTCAGGTCCAAAAACAAATGACAACAACTGTGAAAGAATCGCTCAGCACAGCTAATGAAGAAGACATAAATTTGAGAAAATAGAGAATAAAAAAATGATAGAAACACTGAAAGAACAATATGGGAAAGAATTAGAATGCATGGAACAGATTGAGACAGGGTCTCGCCGTGCAGCTCAGGCTGGCCTTAAGCTCACTTCGTAGCCCAGGCTGGTCTCGAACTCACAATGATCCTCTTGCCTGAGCCTCCCCAGTGCTGGGACTTACAAGTGTGTGCCACCACGCCCAGCTGTGGGCCCCCACTCTTACATGTTGGGGGACATACCTCCAACAGCAGGCCTCTTTCACGGCTGAGCTGCTGGCAGCTGAACTGGC